GGTGACGACTCCTCCGCTTTAACCATAATGCTCAAATGGATGAAAAAGCACAGTTGTGTGCAGCTATATTTTGACATTAAAAAACAGTGCCCATTGTGCAGCGCGTGTTCAAATTTCGTGTAAACAAACAGTGTATTTTACAAAGCGTTGTATACATTGTCGCATGGGACCCATACCGAATATAGCGCTTCACAACGACCACCAGCGTTCACTGACACACTGGCGGACATACATGTATAATAATGACTCAATACTGAAATGGTCGTTTGAGTCTCAGCCTCTTTGTGATGTTCCCTTTGACGCCATCTTGTTTTAAGCTTGTTTTATCTGTAGCTGTTCCAGACCGTGTTGGAGATGACGCATTGTGTCGCACTCCCCGTCCCGGCATGCCTGGCAGAGATCTGCGTTGTGCTGTCTTCTGGGCTTCCCTATACGGCGGTCTACGCGATATGGTTGCTGGGGAAATCCATAAAAGTTCTGTAAAGAATAATAAGAATTGTATTTTTTTTTTCAAAATGAAAATTCAACTTAATGTTGTACACTATTTCGACAAATTAACGAGAGCAGAATCGCTCTCAGGTTGTCCCGCATAATACAAAATTATGATCAAAGCATGCAGCCGAATTATACTCACGTTGTACAGAATAAACACGTTACATTAAGATGTTACAGAAAAACAATGAAAATGTTCAAAATATTACACTAATGTTTTGCAGGGAAAAATGATACCATTCATTCAAAACAAAACCTTTGTAAATAATCTCAAATTTCGTTTTTACGGTAAATTCAATTGGTATTTGCGCAAAAAAGTTTACGTTGCGCCCTCCTATAGGTGAAGCGCCCTCACAAATGGTGAATATTAGTTGGGAAAAGTGACAGCTGCGTGCTGTGTCATTATTAATCATATTTATAATATGCCAAATCTCTCAATATAATTATTCATTGACAGCCGACGGTAAATCAAAACAATAGCGACACTGTGAATGTCTCATTAATTAATACGTCACAGTTAGCTGTGTCGCTAGAGGGCGCACAGTGGCAGAAAGGATGGTGTAGTATTCAGACAGCCTGGTAACTGACCTGTCCAACTCGGTTGTAAACGTTGCAGAGCACTTTGTAAACTTCCTCCGGGTACCACATAGCGAACTCGTAATCACCATTCTGGCATCTTTGACACTGTTGGCCGTACAGTTTGAAATGTAAGATCCCTTCACCACGTACTTGATTTAGTGTGAACCAGAACATGATACGACCTTTCATCGACGTCCAGCCATGACCACATTTCTAAAACAAAATTCAATATTTCGTCACCAATAACATACAGTGGTCGTTGCGCCGTGATCGGTGCGTCCTGATTTAAATTCCAAATGCAGTGAGAGTATGACAAAGACTCAAATGAAAGGCCAAACACAATAGGATACCTTCAGTTGCGGGTGCGTCATTGCGAAAATTGTTGTCAATGTCCGCGGGCGCTTTGCGTTCGACCTGCGCGTTTTACTGGATAGTGTTTAATCTCATAGGGCAGCTATTACAGGTGACTTTAAGATTTATGAATAATTATCCTCAAATAAATGTTCGATCCCATATATCATAACACAAAAACGAGAATTGTTACGTTACGATAGTTTGTAATATGAATTAGTCAGTGAATATTCCATCGACGCGTGTTCGCACAAATCATACTTTTTATTCAGGTGTTTACACATATAATCGTTGGTAGAGGGCGCACAATTAAAATACTCTGTCTTGCTATTGTGAAATAACTATTGGAAATACCCCGTTCAGAATAACACTCCTGTTCCTCGGCTCTCTATCACGATGAAAACACCTCGGCCCCTCGTTGCAACAGTCGGAAATAAACGACAGTACGAACATATGTAATATTGTATTAATAATTTAACATACCTGGCAACAAAATCTCACTTTGGCACTGTCTCTAAATCTTTTCCATTGTCGATTTGGTTCACGTTCTATTGGTGATATGTACCACACGTGCGGCATGTAATTGACGAATAATTTGCTGAATTCACCGTGCCACAATGCTTCGATGCTGCATAAAAACAAAACAAAAAAACGACCCATTAATTAAATAGTTTAAAGTGAATATGTTAGCAATGAAACAGGCAAATCTGCAGGTAGACAACACGAACCAATTATACGAGCGCCCCCACATGTTCACGCTTGTTTTGACTTTCGTTTATGATGCGCAACAATAAATCAGACGTCCAGGGCTCGTACATTGACCGTACGTGAACTGACTATCAGCTATCAGTACGGGATCTAGTGCGTAACGACTTGCCCACTCCTAACCCGTGATATAGGGCTCCCTAGTACGCAGTTAAATTGTTCAACAATAGGGTAAGCACTTCTGACTCTGACAAGTTCCGAAATATTTTGTGAAGTTTTTTATACATATTTTTTTTGACACAACACTGACAAGAAACAGTACAGCAGTTAATATTATTGTTATCATCTGCTATTTTCATAATATAATATACATACTAGAAACTTACAAACTTCAAGTTGATCTAATTTCTCAAACTCCGGGAAGCTGATTATTTTAAAGGAAAGTTCCCTGTACGTTCAGCAATGACGTGTAGATATTAATCTTCTTTGTTATTGATGTTTTTGCTGTCATCCTTACGTAATTGTTTTGTCATTCTTGACTATATGAATATTCTAATTTTGTGTAAACTACTTTTCTTGTATGTTTTGGTATCATTTCCCCAGTATCTGCGAGTTTGTTTAATTTAAATGTACGTAGCCATTGTTATGAACGTTTCTTTTTCTTGTATTTGTGAATCATGTTTACTTTGTAATACTACCTTAAATGCAATGTCCAGCATTATAACACCACGAACAAACAAACGAGTGAGCCTTCAATCAGTCAGTACATAACCCCTAAAATGCTGACTCACTTTCCACTAAAGAACACACACTGCTATACGCGTACGGACAAGGTGATATGTTCATTTACTCTAAAAAACAGAGCAAAATGTGAAATCATTTTGCTTCTCTGCATGTTCATGCGCATGGGGTTAAGCTCAAAATTTTTCATTTTAATAGTCACAGAAAAGTAACACTCAGTCTTCAAATACATCCAAACTGTAACATTTTGCATTGTTATACTTAATTAGAATTGTGAATGAAGGTATGTTCTTTGCATAATGTGTTAGTAATTGTAGAAGTTTATGTTGAATGGTCGATGGAAAGCGATTTTAAAGTGGCTTATCCACTCATCATTCTAGAGTTTGTGCACTAGAGAATACCCATGATGCTCTTACTTCATTTGTTATTTTGATATTTTCTCTATTATGTACGTTATAATGCGAATATGTTTTAATGTCTAATATCTGTGAACACATCTCCCCACTACTGTATGTGTACAGAACAGGGCTGGGTAGTTCATTAAATTAAATTATTTTGGGGGTTGTGTGCAGCATGAAGCTCTATTCGTGTAGATACTGAAATGGCAGTGAGTGGCTTGTTTTTTTTAATGTGATTTAATGATAGACATTGTCTTTAATTAGAGCAAAAATTTTATTTTGCACTTTTGCTCAATAAACAAATACGTCACTGATGATCTGTAACTGCACGGGATACCGTCCAACTTGAAGTTAGTCTCGTGAGACTTAAGTTCAAGTACCGATACCCTATTTTGACCAGTTTTCAGTTCAAAATGGCCACTGTTACACTTTTTATTTGCTCATTGTTTTTTTTTATTTGATGGAACATTTCGTTTTGTAAATATCAGAAAACATTTTAAAATGACTCAACGACGTAAAATAATGTTTTTTTTTGTCTAGGTAATTTTTATCCAAATAATGACCCTCTCCAACAAAAATTTACGGTTATTTTTTGGAACCAAGTTCCCCAGAACAGGGGCGAAGTTTTGAATTTGAGCGGTAGACTTGCGTCAAATGCCCCCCCCCCCCATTCATTCCGAGTGCCATGTTACATGTTAATACTACACAAATATTTGTGTTTGAATTGTGTTTTCATTTACTGTAACTGTTTCTATTGATTAGTATATATTGCGTGTCTGCACAAATATATTGTATTTATATCAACATATGACTGAATTAAATGTCGCACTGATATATTTGTCTGAGTATTCAAGTTGTACGGACCGTGCTCCAAATTAAGAGAACACAGCGGCGGTTGTACTTTCAGCTTGTACTACAGTTTCCACAACCTTGACATTATTACAGCTGCATTATTAACCTCTGATCCAATACTGTCACATTCAATGAAGTATGTGATTATATACAACGAGCTTTGCGAATCTACTTGTCGCTTTGTTTACTCACTCGTCGCAAGCTCCATGACCCGTATACTCCGTATACTTTCTCGTCTGGTATTTTGCACTCACGTAATTACTCAATAAGGGCCGCCATCGGCGCGTGGCGCGAAAAGATTCTGTTGATGCGGATCAGTCATTTTTTGGGCTGATTTATGAGACAATTTAGGGGTTCATCCGGGGCCGGGGGTCATCTAGGAAGGTAATATCGGTTCACTCGCGGTTCTAGTAACCGTGGTTCACTGCAGGGCCGACGTAGGAACTCGGTAGATCTGGGTAGTACGCAATGACTAGAACAAAAAAACAACAACAGGCAGTCGCCATCCACCCTTCGGCAGCGTACCTACTACACTCGGTACAACTGGGTCGCGGTACGAACGTATCGACCGCTTGTCAACAAGTTGAATATTTTTTAAATCACACTAACTGCTTCACTGTCGTAGAACCAACAATATTTTTTTCTCTCCTGGACAGCAATGTCTACAATGTTTTAATTGTTGATCGAATTATAATACTGCTAAAGCACCTAAAGCTAAACGGTTAATGCATAGTCGGGAACACAGTTGTGAGTTGGATTACGAAAAAACTTTGTCCATGATGTTTTTTCATGCATACATTGACAAGTACAGAATTCAACTGATATATGGCCATAGTTATATTTGTATAACTGCTGCGGTACACGGGCAGGGTGTCGTGATGGTGTCGGGCAGGGGGACGTCAAATTCTGTGTACATAATGTACGTACGTAGTCATCGAATGAGTATCTCCTCTCTGAGTTTAAAATCAAACATATATATCGCAGGAATAAACACGAGACTTACGGCAATTTAGGGCGTCCAACAGTCAAAATCGATAACATACTTACAGAGGTCTTAAATTTCATCAAATTGACATGTGAAATACAGCCATTGAGACTAAATATACACAGTGACATTTGCCTGCGTCAATCAGTGTTGATAAGCCGACATGAGAAGGGCTACTAAACATTCCATTTTTGACACACCTATATGATGACGACCAACAGTCTGCGAAGTTCGGATTTCGTGTTACCCAAAATACACGTGAAACAGACTGCTTCTGGTTTTTGTTGAAAACGGTTTTGGGGTTCTGAGGATGCAAAGTCTCGAGTCTATGCACAAGATTTGAGAACACACGTGATATAAACGTGTTTTAATATTTCAATTCGTGTGCGGTTGGTTTGGAGCTGGTAGCATATATAAGTCATTACATTATATCAAGAAAATCATATTTTTATGGTGGGTGGTACTAAGTACCTCAAATATTTGCAAAGAATAAAACAATAAGTAACAACAGGTGATAAATTATAGAATAACGAAGACAGTTTAATCAACTTTCGGGCCTTTTTCTTTCTCGTTACAAGTTCGCGGTGGCTGTGCGATTTTGTTGGCTTAAATATAATTAGTGTTCTCTGCGAGTACACGTCACAGAGCAAACACAACGGAACATGGTATGGCGCCACACTATCTACTGTGCATCACGTGATCCAAATAGGGAATGAACTTTTCTGCGTGGATGATTGGAAGAACAGTTGATTTTTCACGAACATAATAAATTCACTTATTTTACTTAGTAGATTAGTCCCCCCCCCCTCATTGTCAGAAAGAATTGTCCAACCCTGATTAATTATGTTATTAAGAGACTTCCGTTTGATACAAAACACTGCTTGTCTCGGAAGTGTGGTTAGAAAAAAATATGTGAACTGTCTCAGAATATGATGAGTTATAAGCTGCATGCTACCATTAAAATAATTGCAAACCGTTTCCTGTTCAACCCTGCCAAAAGTTCAGTACTCAGACGCCCAGCCATAGTGGATGGTCACGTGAACTCAAAGTGAACCTTTAACTGCATAGTGAGTGTATTGTATAAAATATCATAATCAACAAGTGGTTTGACGACAAATAAATGTGTTATTAGTTCATAGAATATCAATATCGGCTGTTTTAAATTAATTATATGCATTTTGCTCATTTTCAAGATCAAGTACCATACCTAAATGACAAAAATGTCTTAATGCTATTAGGGAAATTCGCAAAAGCATTGTTTGCATGATATCAAGTTTGGGTACTGTAATCTTGGTTGTTTTTGTTTTTGTTTTTTATCATTTACGTGACAGAACTTCTCTCCTAGCATTTTGAAATTTCTTCATATACCACAAGCTAGCCACGTCATACCTTGATGACGTCATCTCAGCGCATCGTGTTATATGTTCAGACTCTTTGCCATTTGATTTAGACCAAATATCGTTGAAGCAAGCTATGACAATAGCATAAAATAACTAAAGAAAGCCTAGCTGCGTGCTATCGCTATAATACCGTCACGTGGCGGGATTTCACGTTGACGCTGAGCGGACGTTCTCTGTGTCAGAAGGTGTTGTTACGTTAAAGGGCGGTGGTCGTCGCGTCCTGTTCGATATGGAACTCAGATGTATACAACGCGTGTAAAATACATTGTTTATTTACATTAAATTCGAACACGCGTAACACGACGACCAGTGCCCTTTAACGTATGAAATTTCCTCAAGAACTGCTCTTGCTGAAATATGGGGAGAGTCATAGTGTTCTATGGTGATACATGCTATGTGTACTTACAGGAATGTTATGGTTTTTATTTTTCAACGTTTAAATCTGTATTTATCTATACATAGATTAGACGTGATGCCAGTTTACTCTTAAAGGTCACATTTTCTTGATTATTTCCAATTTGAGACGGTGAAAGTCGTAAGTATGACT